GGTGGTGGGTGACCGCCTTGTGATGTTAGCGGGAACGACAGGGTGTTGTCCAGGGTCACGCCAAGGCTCTCGCACTCTGGGAGGGAGGACACAATGGAGTTGTCAACGTGTGGGAGATCATGGAACGGGCAGTCCTTCCCTGGGACGGGCAGTCCTTCCGCAGCGCCGGAGATGCCCAACTCGGAGAGGGTGGAGAGGAGAATCTGATGGTTCACACTATCCAAGGCAGCGGATAGGTCTAGAAGGATAAGAGCAGAGGAGAGAGAGTTAGCTTTAGCAGTGCGGAGAGCCTCCGTGACACAGAGAAGAGCAGTCTCAGTTGAATGGCCAGTCTTGAAACCTGCCTGGTTTGGATCAAGAAGGTAATTCTGAGAGAGATAGCAGGAGAGTTGGCTAGAGACGGCACACTCAAGAGTTTAGGAGAGAAAAGAAAGAAGGGATACTGGTCTGTAGTTGTTGACATCGGAGGGATCGAGTGTAGGTTTTTTGAGGAGGGGTGCAACTCTCGCCCTCTTGAAGACGGAAGGGACATGGCCAGCGGTCAAGGATGAGTTGATGAGCGAGGTGAGGTAAGGGAGTAGGTCTCTGGAAATTGTCTGGAGAAGAGAGGAGGGGATAGGGTCAAGCGGGCAGGTTGTTGGGCGGCCGGCCGTCACAAGTCGCAATATTTCATCTGGAGAGAGAGGGGAGAAGGATGTCAAAGCATAGGGTAGGGCAGTGTGAGCAGGACCAGCGGTGTCATTTGACTTAATAAATGAGGATCGGATGTCGTCAACCTTCTTTTCAAAATGGTTGACGAAGTCATTCACAGAGAGTGAGGATGGAGGGGGAGGTGGAGGAGGATTCAGCAGGGAGGAGAAGGTGGCAAAGAGCTTCTTAGGGTTAGAGCCAGAGGCTTGAAATTTAGAGTGGTAGAAAGTGGCTTTAGCAGCGGAAACAGAGGAAGAGAATGTAGAGAGGAGGGAGTGAAAAGATGACAGGTCCGCAGGGAGTCTAGTTTTCCTCCATTTCCGCTCGGCTGCCCAGAGCCCTGTTCTGTGAGCTCGCAATGAGTCGTCAAGCCACGGAGCAGGAGGGGAGGACCGAGCCGGCCGGGAGGATAGGGGACATAGAGAGTCAAAAGATGCAGAAAGGGAGGACAGGAGGGTTGAGGAGGCAGAATCAGGAGATCGGAGGGAGAAGGATTTAGCAGAGGGAAGAGATGATAGGATGGAAGAGGAGAGAGTAGCGGTAGAGAGAGAGCGAAGGTTGCGACGGCACATTACCATCTGAGTAGGGGCAGAGTGAGTAGTGTTGGAGGAGAGCGAGAGAGAAAATGATACAAAGTAGTGGTCGGAGACTTGGAGGGGAGTTGCAGTGAGATTAGTAGAAGAACAGCATCTAGTAAAGATGAGGTCAAGCGTATTGCCTGCCTTGTGAGTAGGGGGGGGGACGGTGAGAGGGTGAGGTCAAAAGAGGAAAGGAGTGGAAAGAAGGAGGCAGAGAGAAATGAGTCAAAGGCAGATGTAGGGAGGTTAAAGTCACCCAGAACTGTGAGGGGTGAGCCATCCTCAGGAAAGGAACTTATCAAGGCGTCATGCTCATTGATGAACTCTCCAAGGGAACCTGGAGGGCGATAAATGACAAGGATGTTAAGCTTGAATGGGCTAGTGACTGTGACAGCATGGAATTCAAATGAGGAGATAGACAGATGGGTCAGGGGGAAAATAGAGAATGTCCACTTGGGAGGGATGAGGATTCCTGTGCCACCGCCGCACTGACCAGATGCTCTCGGGTATGCGAGAACACATGGTTAGACGAGGAAAGAGCAGTAGGAGTAGTAGTGTTTTCTGTGGTAATCCATGTTTCCGTCAGCGGCAAGAAATCGAGGGACGAGGGTAGCATAGGCTGAGATTAACTCTGCCTTGTTGGCTGCAGAACGGCAGTTCCAGAGGCTGCCAGAGACCTGGAACTCCATGTGGGTCGTGTGCGCAGGGACCACCAGATTAGAGTGGCAACAGCAACGTGGTGTGAAGCGTTTGTATGGCCTGTGCAGCGAGGAGAGAACAGGGATAGACAGAGAAAGGCTACAATAATGAAAAGGAGATCGGAATGAAATGAACTAAACATCTGGGAAAGCGAGAGAGCGGGGCCTCCCTCACTTACGTTTCATTGAAAATATAACTCTCCCAACTTCCACTTTAGAACAACAACCAACCTACAGCAATAACGTGCAATACTGTATTTATTTGCAAATTAAGCCTCAATCATTTATTTTACTGTAGTATTTCTCAGGCATGAAATGCTGTTCACTCAAATGATCACTCACTGAGAATATTAAAGGCAATCATGATCAAGGGACTCACTTGAGAACATTATAAAGGTCAAAAACAGAATAGAATTTGACAAGAGGTCAAAAACAGAATTGTACTGAACAATCTGGTAAAAGCCTAAAACAAGCTACATATTGACACAGAAATGTGTGCGTATGTACACCCCCTGCTAATCTCTAGAATAGACCACGTTGTTGTGGAACGACAGGGATTTACCCGCCTTTTTTGCCAAGTGTGCCATGCTCACGTTGCGGCATTGCACCGTCACTTCTTGTTGCAGATTGGCGTGAAGACAGCAACATTAGCGTCCAGGCAGCAACATTAATACTTCCGGTTTTCCTATTTTGCCTTCAAAATAAGTGTGTGCGGTAAAACACTATGTATATGACACGAAATCAATATTTTTTGCAGCTTTGCATAGTCATAGTTCATAATGTAAACTGTGTGTACAAAACAAAGTTTATATTTGAGATTCTAAAACTATCGATGTTATATTTAGCTGGGTGAATGGAATATGAATGACAGTCATCCAATATGCTGTAATAGAAATAAGGCCATGCTCATAAACAAAAAATAATCGTTCTCCCTCATCTTAAACAGCACCAACCGCCACTGCTTGAAAATCAATCACTGTCACGCCTCCCTTGCAGGTCTGGAGAATTGTGTATTGGAAAAGCGGTTTGAATGGTCCGCTGGCTCCCAGCAGCAAGATTTTTATTGGATATTACATTTCAAGAACCCTCCCCCACGTGCCAGTTGGTTCTACGTGTTATATTTGTCACCATTTTCAGACCGGGAAGGACACATTTTGCTGAGAGTTGTTCCATACGCTAGTTTGCAACATTGCAGAACATTGAAGAAAACCTGGAGGAAAAACGTAATTCTATTTTGTCAGAAGTGTGCTCTATACATAAAATCGACATACATATTTTGATGGGGTTTTAATCTGCGATTTCCCGGCCATTCTCACCATAGACTGTAAAAATAATTGTTACGCACTGTTGCACCTACGACACTAATCTAGTGAGCACTATTGCAGTGCCGCCCAAGCAAGGCATTTGATTGGTTTGACGTGTAGCAAGGCGTCACTGATTTACACCTGGTCTCCACCCCAATATAGCCCCACAGTGGAGGTGTCATAATACCCATAAAACCTAGCGGTGAAATGGTTCCAATCGTTTTTCCACCTTTCAATTTTCCCATAGGGGATTTTAGAAACACTTAAAATAAGGCCTGTGTTTCGTGTAGGCTTACCGTGGCATGATGTTTTGATAACCATGTAAATCTCTCTTGGACAAGGTGAATTTTATCAATATATTCGGCTCTATTTACTCCGATTAGAAAATGCTAATTAGCATCAAAGTATACATTATGCAAAACTACAAATCCCTGCAAGCTCCTGCACGTCATCTCTAGCTGACACTTTTGCTAACAGGTATTGTCAATTTAAAACTTGTACAAGACAGTTCACAGAATTGTCAGTTTTAAAGAAATGTAGGCAATTTATTAATTACTACATTTAGCTAACACTAGATAGTTAATCCAGAGATTCTTACCTTTGCCTCGATTCAGCAGTCTCGTGCAAATCATCATGGCATTTGTAGTTCTATATGATAGCCACATTAGCAGCTAATTGGCATTTCATTTTTGGGGGGTAAATACAGGCAAATATTGATAAGTCACATTGTCCTAGAGAAATTTACACGGTTATCAAAACGTCATGCCAGGGTAAGCCTATATGACGCACAGCCCTTAATTTTTAGTGTTTCTAAAATCCCCTTTGGGAAAAATGAATGGTGGAAAAACAATTGGAACCATTTCCCTGTTTGACTGCTAGGTTTATGGGTATTATGACTCATACTGTGGTACTCTATTTAGCTATTCCCCCAGGTTTACCTGCATTAGGGAAATCTGGTTCTCAACGAAGCTTGCTTAATAGAATCCCAGCCCGGGCCCTTAGACTCTAAGGCAGGGGTATTCAACTCTTACCCTACGAGGTCCGGAGCCTGCTGGTTTTCTGTTCTACCTGATACTGACCTTAATTGCAACCGCCTGGTGTTCATTGCTTCAAACAGGGAAATTGCCTTTTTGAAGTGAGGAGACAGTTTCCCTTGGTCAGCTCTAAGTCATCTCTTATACCATTCAGAAAATGCTGATGTAGTATTTAGAAACATTTAATTGGGTAACGTTTTACCCACTGTGTGATTGGAGAAGTATTCATATTGTGGAATGACAGAAATCTCTGATTGTGAATCAAGTGATTGTACATCTGTTTGTTGTTGCCAACAATTGGGATTTCAATTGTACTCTATGGAAAAATGGTGTCTCTCTTAACTGTAAAATGTTCTGCTACACGGGGCACAAAAATAACAACAATATCTGGTGTGGTAGTCCAAACAGTCTAAGGCCAGCAACCTCTTTATAATTCAGTGCCCCATGAAATGACATCTTATATATATTCTACAGACCCTACTGAGTATTCCCTATAATACTTTTACTGGGGCACCTATAATAGTTTTTGCTCTATAAGCCAATATGTATTTCATATTTTAAAACCTATATTTAATGCAAATGTTGCTTAAATATGAATTAAATATAGGTTATTGAGACTTTTCTACTATTACGTGAGGGACTTTTATTTGAACGTTTCCGAAATTCCGTGACCCGGAAGTACTTTTTTGTGCTGCTGACGAGACGCTGATTTGTTGCACTGATAACAACCAGCTAGCTACTGTTAGCTATCTTCTTGACAAGAAAATACAGGTTTTTAATTGTTACGCGCCATTTTAACTAGCCGAGATCAAAATGACCACTAAAAAGAAGCGGTCACCACATTCACGAAACGACAGATGGGTTGTTGTTGCTGCAGGTAAATTAGGCAACTGTAAGTCGCTCTGGATAAGAGCGTCTGCTAAATGACTTAAATGTAAAAAAGTGTAGCTAGCTAACGAACGTTAGTTTACTAGTTTCACTTTCATCTGTGCATAACCTAATATTGTAATTCTTATCTGTGGTAACGTATAGCAAAGATTTGTATAACTAACCTATCTGTGGTACAACGTTCGCTAGTTAACTAAATAGATAGCTGGAAGCTACCTAAATAGGTAATTTAGCTAGTTAGTTTAGGTAGAATGTAATTTAGCTACTATAATGGCGATATCAATGTTGGTTAGTCTTTCCAGCTACTGGTATCAAGGTAACAATGGCAGTTGTTGCATGATCCATCAAAGCTGAAAATCCATATTACAGTGATCTGTACTAGAGTTAGATCCATCTTTATCTAACTGGAGCAGCTCCACTTGCAACAAAGTTTCGCATCCAGTGCGCTGCATCCCGCGACAATAGCAGCATGTAATGTGTTTGTGTATTTCTTTTCCCACACAGACTCCGCCGTGGAAACACCACAGAAAGATGACAGTGACCCCACTTTCATCCGGCTTAGGAACCCTTCAACAGGTAGCTAGCTAGCTATCTAGCGCCAATAACACATTTTAAACAGGCACAACGTTAACTACCAATCATTCGAAGCAAAACTATGAAAGTCAAAAGCATTGAAATCATAACCCACTTCTCCAAAGTGGTAGCTAACTTTCTTTCTATTCTATCTAGTGAAATTAGCTAGCTATCTATTTGTAATTTTCTAGATGCAGCGTCTTTGTACCTGTTGGGCAGTGGTGATGTGCAGCTGTATGAGGTCAAAGCCTTCAACGAGGACTTCCACTCCTGGTTCATTGGCCAGACAGTACAGAGAGGTAATTTACAATCAGGTGATAGGTAGCTAAGCTTGACCAGTCTAGTACGAGGTGTACATTGTGGTGTTGAAGATTCAAATGTTTTATTTGATTTTGAACAGATGGGAGACTTCTGTATGTCACTCCAATGGATCCACTCTACCTGCTGTTGCCCTACTTGATCAAAGCGGGTAAAGAGGTAAGTAGGGTGGCCAATCAAAATCGCATATTTTGACCAATGTGCAAAATACTATCTTTATTGTGTAGATAATCCTCTAAAAAACCAATGGTTCAAACCTCATGTCTCTATCATAATCCGGTCAAAAGTTATTGGCGTTTTTACCCTTGTAGGATGGTCAGAATTAGGGCAAATAAATCAATGGAGGCCAGAATAAAGAAGTGGTTAGCTAGGCTGGATGCTGTGAGAGATTTAAGGCTACCTGACAGGCTTACCATTGAACTCTTCATTTTTCTTTTCAAGTCCGGAGGACATAAAACAATATAGAAATAAAATAGATATCGATTTTGAGACATGACATAGTATTTTCATATTTTATTATACGCTGTTCATAATAATGCAAAGTTTCTGTTCTTTTTTTGAAGACTTCTCACAAAAACAAGCGTATCTCTGTGAAAGGTCAACGGCGCACTGAGCATACCCCAAGCTTTTTATTTTCAAAGCCTTTAATTCAGCTCATGTCATGCAAATTTTTTGCGACCTGCGGAAACAACTTGGAAGACGACGACCACAATGTAAAATCCTCAAAGGTTTTGGCAATAAAGCTACACCACTCTGTCAACAGAGCTCGGTGCTTATTATCGGATGTATTAGTTTACGAAATCAGACTTTTTGGACATAATGATATGTTAGAGAAAGACCCCACTAAATGACTCATAACATAAGGAAGTGAAATGTCATCACCAAAGTGCGTTTTCACCCACTCTGGGCAGAGAGGTAAGGCCATATGCACTTTTGAAATTAAATTATTATTGCATCTTTATCTCTCCCCCTTTATGATTTCATCTTCGTCAGTCTTTCTCTCTTTGCAATCTCTCTTGTCCCCCCATTGTGATGTCATCCATCGCTCTTTCTTCCTTTTGCGATGTCATGTGTCCTTCTCTCTTTGTGATGTCTACTCTGTCCTCTGTGATTCCATCTCTGTCCGGTCATCGTGATGACATATCATTCTGTCTTCCTCTCTTTTGTGATGTCATCTCTGTCCTATGTGATGTAATCTCTGTCCAGTCATCGTGATGACCTTCGGTCCTTCTCTCTTTGCAAGGTAATTTCTGCCCTTTTGTGATGTCATCGCTGTCTTCTTCTCTTTGTGATTTAATTTCTCTGTGTTCTGCTGCAGGGGAAGTTCCAGCCCATGGACCAGGTAGTGATGGACGAGGACTTCCCAGCATGCACTAGGCTGCTGAGCTGCACACGCTCCCAGGCCTCGCTGCACCATGTGGCTGAGGAGAAAGGTCAGATGTCAATTTGTTCAGCAGACACAACCTAATGTTGAAAGTTAATGTGCTCCTCAGAAACAATCAACTATCAAACTCTGATTACAACCCCCCTCACCCCAATAATTAGCTTCTCACTTCTACGTCAGTCTGAAGGGTACATTAATGGTTGCTGGATTAAATGTGTATATCAGATAATTGTCAATGTTTCTGATTTTCTAAGAATGAGCTGCACGTGAACACAGTAAACAAGTGTAATGTTGTGGTCTCAAGTGTAATGTTGTGGTCTCAAGTGTTATACATGCTGTTTGTGCTGCTCCTTCAGAGGTGGGCAGTCTGAAGTATCACCGCTACAGCCAGGAGAGGACCATGGAATGGTTAAAGAAAAAGGTACCCATTGAGCACTATGAGCTGCATATGCCCATATCCTCTATTGCAGTGGTTCCAAACCTTTTTTGGTTACTGTACCACCAACTGAATTTTGCTCTGCCTGGAGTACCTCTGAAGTACCCCCTCATGTGCATTTTACCATTAGGCCATTGGTCTCATGAGTCTTCTCTAGTACCCCTGTGGATAGGCCCAGTACCTCCAGGCATCCTAATACCCCTGTGGATAGGCCCAGTGCCTCCAGGCTTCCTAGTACCCCTGTGGATAGGCCCAGTGCCCCCAGGCTTCCTAGTACCCCTGTGGATAGGCCCAGTGCCCCCAGGCATCCTAGTACCCCTGTGGATAGGCCCAGTGCCCCCAGGCTTCCTAGTACCCCTGTGGATAGGCCCAGTGCCCCCAGGCTTCCTAGTACCCCTGTGGATAGGCCCAGTGCCCCCAGGCATCCTAGTACCCCTGTGGATAGGCCCAGTGCCCCCAGGCTTCCTAGTACCCCTGTGGATAGGCCCAGTGCCCCCAGGCTTCCTAGTACCCCTGTGGATAGGCCCAGTGCCCCAGGCATCCTAGTACCCCTGTGGATAGGCCCAGTGCCCCCAGGCTTCCTAGTACCCCTGTGGATAGGCCCAGTGCCCCCAGGCATCCTAGTACCCCTGTGGATAGGCCCAGTGCCCCCAGGCTTCCTAGTACCCCTGTGGATAGGCCCAGTGCCCCCAGGCTTCCTAGTACCCCTGTGGATAGGCCCAGTGCCCCCAGGCTTCCTAGTACCCCTGTGGATAGGCCCAGTGCCCCCAGGCTTCCTAGTACCCCTGGTTGGGAACCACTGCTCGCTCTATAGTACGTCTTGAAGCTGTGTTCTTCAATTTGATCCTGGGGATCTTCAAGGTGTGCCAGCTTTTTGTTCTAGCCCATTAATCAACAAATCATCAATCCCTTAGTTGAATCAGGTGTTATGCCATGCTGTGGGTTCCTAGGAGTGGAGTGGGGAATGGCCAGTAGATGTGACAGCGTTAACAGTGTTGGTCTTGCTGTGTCTCTGCTGTTCCAGGCTGAGAGGACAGTGAAGACCCTCAGAAAGAGTAACATCTCAGTGGGAGAGGGAGTAAATTCCACGACGTATGTCCGAGTCAAGCAGGAGTCCGAGACCCAGGAAGGTGAGTCAAGCCCAGGGCCAGTCTGGTCCAAAACTTTACACCTGGGCCATGCTCTCCCTAGCCTGTATAAATAACATGAACCAGAGGATGGCACCAAACCCCTTGTAGAGATCAGGGGCCTAATTAATAATTGTTGCGTACATTTCACACAAAATATCTGCGTGCGCCATTTCTGAAAAGTCTGCGCATGTACAAAATATTTAGATTTATAAACTTGATGCACGCCATACATACGAATGTTTCCATTATAAATCACCTGTTACAATTGACCTGTTGTAAAACTGCGCGCGTGAACTAGTATTAAAACTCAGGCTGGAAAACGCCCTCCATTCACCTTTTATGATGACAATAATGCCCTGGATTTGCTGTATAATTTTGAACTATTGGCATTAGGCTACAGCATGCAAAAGACGAGTTGTTGTTCAATATTTAGTTGATCAATAGATTAGGTTTCTATTTCCTGTCTTGGTATAGGCTCTGAGATTAAGTAGGCTATAATGTCGAGCTCCTATCGCACAGCAATACTGTAGCCTACCCATACTGTACAATATTTTACATAAGCTACCGGTCTATTTCATGTGTTGGCAGAATGGTTTCATCTTTAGCAGTAATTGATGCTGTATCTGGAAAAGGACTTGTGTCGCTTTCTGAAAGAGAACCATGGCAACTTGTTGTGGACCTGTCAGCAGAACGTTTGGATTCAGCAATGTTTTGCATCCACTTTTCCACAAACCTAAAAATGATGGACTTCCCGCAAATTCTGAGACATTGTCTAGGGCCGGATACTCCAAAATAAAATGCAATTACAGTAGTATACATAGGCCTACTTCAATGTTAAATTCGACTGTATTATAAAACACGCTGCCTATGAGATTGAAACTTGAAATGCATAGCCTATTTATGTACTAGGCTACTAGGTCCAATTAAATGAGATGCACATGGTAATCTGTTTTATGGCTACTTGGGGAATATGAACCCAGAAAAGGTGAGGAATTTATTCTGCAATGGTTATGAAAATATTAATATGTCTATATTTTAGATTCTAAAAATATTTTTTTTTTGCTCTTCTCACTAACGGGAAATGGCTGCATTCTTGTTCATATGTTTTCCTGTTTTTTTATGAACAAGCTTTTCATCATATCCCCCTTTGCACAAAGTTCTTACTTACCAGCTTGCAATACAATTCTTACTTACCAGCTTGCAATACAATACAATATGTCAACCACTAGCAGAGATGTGTACGCATTGTCTAAAGTTTTGCGGGGAGGTGAGCATATTCTCACGTCAAGTACATTTTGTATAAATGGCAGCTTTTGCGTGAACTGGCTCATGCACATTTTGGGCTATATTTTGTACATACAGTGGGGAGAACAAGTATTTGATACACTGCCAATTTTGCAGGTTTTCCTACTTACAAAGCATGTAGAGGTCTGTAATTTTTATCATAGGTACACATCAACTGTGAGAGACGGAATCTAAAACAAAAATCCAGAAAATCACATTGTATGATTTTTAAGTAATTAATTTGCATTTTATTGCATGACATAAGTATTTGATACATTAGAAAAGCAGAACTTAATATTTGGTACAGAAACCTTTGTTTGCAATTACAGAGATCATACGTTTCCTGTAGGTCTTGACCAGGTTTGCACACACTGCAGCATGGATTTTGGCCCACTCCTCCAACAGACCTTCTCCAGATCCTTCAGGTTTCGGGGCTGTCGCTGGGCAATACGGACTTTCAGCTCCCTCCAAAGATTTTCTATTGGGTTCAGGTCTGGAGACTGGCTAGGCCACTCCAGGACCTTGAGATGCTTCTTACGGAGCCACTCCTTAGTTGCCCTGGCTGTGTGTTTCGGGTCGTTGTCATGCTGGAAGACCCAGCCACGACCCATCTTCAATGCTCTTACTGAGGGAAGGAGGTTGTTGGCCAAAATCTTGCGATACATGGCCCCATCCATCCTCCCCTCAGTACGGTGCAGTCGTCCTGTCCCCTTTGCAGAAAAGCATCCCCAAAGAATGATGTTTCCACCTCCATGCTTCACGGTTGTACTCATCCTCCTTCTTCCTCCAAACACGGCGAGTGGAGTTTAGACCAAAAATCTCTATTTTTGTCTCATCAGACCAAATGACCTTCTCCCATTCCTCCTCTGGATCATCCAGATGGTCATTGGCAAACTTCAGACGGGCCTGGACATGCGCTGGCTTGAGCAGGGGGACCTTGTGTGCGCTGCAGGATTTTAATCCATGACGGCATAGTGTGTTACTAATGGTTTTCTTTGAGACTGTGGTCCCAGCTCTCTTTAGGTCATTGACCAGGTCCTGCCGTGTAGTTCTGGGTTGATCCCTCACCTTCCTCATGATCATTGATGCCCCACGAGGTGAGATCTTGCATGGAGCCCCAGACCGAGGATGATTGACCGTCATCTTGAACTTCTTCCATTTTCTAATAATTGCGCCAACAGTTGTTGCCTTCTCACCAAGCTGCTTGCCTATTGTCCTGTAGCCCGTCCCAGCCTTGTGCAGGTCTACAATTTTATCCCTGATGTCCTTACACAGCTCTCTGGTCTTGGCCATTGTGGAGAGGTTGGAGTCTGTTTGATTGAGTGTGTGGACAGGTGTCTTTTATACAGGTAACGAGTTCAAACAGGTGCAGTTAATACAGGTAATGAGTGGAGAACAGGAGGGCTTCTTAAAGAAAAGCTAACAGGTCTGTGAGAGCTGGAATTCTTACTGGTTGGTAGGTGATCAAATACTTATGTCATGCAATAAAATGCTAATTAATTACTTAAAAATCATACAATGTGATTTTCTGGATTTTTCTTTTAGATTCCGTCTCTCACAGTTGAAGTGTACCTATGATAAAAATTAAAGACTTCTACATGCTTTGTAAGTAGGAAAACCTGCAAAATCGGGTGTATAAAATACGTGTTCTCCCCACTGTACGCATTATTTTATAAACCAGGCCCCAGGAGCTAGCACAACAGACTTTGCCAAATCCTGTTTTACATTTTGAATTTCACTCCAGCTCAGATTGTTAACCCAGTTTTCTGTGATATCAATAGGAAGGTTATAATTGTGAAATGTATAAAGTGATGCTGTGGTATTAACCCTCCTCATTATAACACAGAGGACTACCTGCGGTATGCCCATGGCCTGATATCTGAGTACATCAGTGAAGACCTGAGCAAAGCCCTCCTCAAGCATCTCCAGTATGTACACACATTAACTGTACTTAGTTTTTATGCATTCATGTTAAAAGCACAATCTAGAATTTCATTTTCATGTAGCTTCATTGTAACTGGCACTGAGTAATTTGAATTAAATGGAAACCGCCCCCAAAACTGAAGATGAGTGGGCAGGTTTGGAGGCAGTCACCACAGAATTCAAAAAACTCGGTGACAGTTAGATTTTTTTCAAGACACATCCCCCACAGTTTACAAACTAGTGCAGGGCCCAGGACAGCACTTTTGACTGGAAATGTAATGGTAATTGAAGTGACAGTTTGTGACATTAAGACCATGATACAAGTGAAAGGTAACACATTAAGCAGCATTGTTAGTCTGTAACAGTTTGATGGTGAGTCAGTAATCTTCCACGTTCCTCCTGACAGGTTACCTGAGCTCTCAAGCCCTAAGGAGGTGGAGCCCCCCTCGAAGGTATTTTCTCCAGCTTCTTTGAATTTGTCATCACACTGTGTAGTTACATTTGTATACAGCATATTTCTTCCAAGGTATGTTTTTCTTTATTTGGTAAAACATTTTGTGAATTTTTTCAATTAATTGCTTGCTTTTAGATATTGCAGCGTCAGTTGCTTTTCAACTGTGGTGTTCTATTGAGATTCACCTGATGGTTGCAGTGTAGCGGTAGATTAGTGTGTTCTTATGCCTGTTTCACGTGTGTTGGTGGGTTTGCGGTAGTCACGGTATCTTGCGTGTCGCTGGCTTGTCTGGGGTGTGTGTCTGGGATGTGATGGTCGGTGTTCTGAGTGGAAAGCAGGGTTAACTGTGTAAGTCCCGTGTTCGGTCGGCAGAAGCGGAAACTGACTGACAAACCAGTGGAGGCGGGAGAGGACTACACCAAATTCAACAGCTCCGATTTCACCCGCAAAGTGAGTGAGATTAGGGGCAGTCTGCACGAAGGGACCCAGGAGAGAAATGAAGAGGGAGGGGGGGGGTGTTGCCATTTTGTAACCTTCCATTTTGTAACATTCCATTTTGGACTTTTGTAAGCCTTTTTTGTGTAACAGTTTTCTAGGTATTGATAGGATTTTCGTACCTTACTAAATGTCATGTCTTTTTGGTTTTAGTTTTCAAGCTATGCCTACATAATACATATCTACATTTACATGGCTCTAAAGTGCAACAATTTTGGCCACATATGCTCCTAAATATTTTGCTGCGCGACTTTCAATTATAATTTAGGAGCACCAGTGCGCCTAGAAAACAATCTGCCTGAAAATAATTGTTGTAATGATTAGGCTTCGCTGTACCGCTGTTTCCGAGTGCCCTAGAGAAAAAAAGCTTGTCTCTAGCCCAAACCGTTCAAAAGTTGTGACCCATATTGCTGGCGTTACGTTTTTGGGGAGATAAATCTCCATTAGCAGGCTGCATTTTACATTCATAAACCATGTCGCGGGCCGTTAACACCTTGATTAGTCATGTTACCTCATTAGCTAGCTAGCTAACAACCTGGTAACTTTAGCAGTATATCCAAACATTTGGGGGCACAGAAAGAATAGAAAAGGGATAGCTTCTTCTTCAGGAGATCACTGGTCATAGCAATGAATGAATGACATATTTGCATGTCATCACTCACAAACTTGACATTCTTTAACAGACTGTACAGTTTTCTATGTAATGCATCTCAATAGGAAACAGTGCTTTTTTTAGACAATGTAGAAATCTAATATTCCACAAATTAATTTTGATGACAGGTATTTGTATCAACATTTTAGTTTTTATAATAAACAAATGTCTTTATAGGGTTACATATTTGTTTCTAGGCACAACATGTGCTTCAAAGTAGCTAGAATTCATATAGGCCCAATCTAAGCTGTATCTCAATCAATAAAAAAATATTATTTTCTGGGGCTGCTAAATTTAATGTGGCGCTCCTAACTTAGTTGGGAGCACCAGTGCTATCAATGAAAATGTATTTTAGAACCCTGTACGTACATCCTTTTTTGTCAAGCTAAACCAGTCTACGTGAGTGCAGTGCAGAGGCCTACAAGTAACCTTGTGTATTCTGTCTGGAAATGAGTCATGATGATATGTAATAACGTTTCAGCCGTCTTCACTCGAGGCGGATGAGCAATGCTATTGACTCTCTTTTCTCCTCCTCCAGCCGCCCAAGAAGATGAGTGCGGCACAAAAGACCCTGGCCAAGGTGGACAAAACAGGGCATGAAGAGCATGTCTGCCTTCTTCAGCCCCAAGGGCAAGGCAGACAAAAACTGAATGTTAGGATGATGCAGCAGTTTGTGCGTGTCAGTGTGTCTGTCTGTCGGTGTGCGTGTACAATGTGTGTGTCTGTCGGTGTGCGTGTCTACAGTGTGTCTGTCTGTCTGTCGGTGTGCGTGTCTACAGTGTCTCTGTCGGTGTGCGTGTCTACAGTGTGTCTGTCTGTCGGTGTGCGTGTCTACAGTGTGTCTGTCTGTCGGTGTGCGTGTCTACAGTGTCTCTGTCGGTGTGCGTGTCTACAGTGTGTCTGTCTGTCGGTGTGCGTGTCTACAGTGTGTCTGTCTGTCTGTCGGTGTGCGTGTCTACAGTGTGTGTCTGTCTGTCGGTGTGCGTGTCTACAGTGTGTGTCTGTCTGTCGGTGTACGTGTCTACAGTGTGTCTGTCTGTCTGTCGGTGTGCGTGTCTACAGTGTGTCTGTCTGTCGGTGTGCGTGTCTACAGTGTGTCTGTCTGTCGGTGTGCGTGTCTACAGTGTGTCTGTCTGTCAGTGCGCATGTACAATGTGTGTGTCTACAGTGTGTCTGTCTGTCTGTTGGGGTGTGTGTGTGTCTCGGTGTGCTTGTCTACAGTGTGTCTGTCTGTCTGTTGGGGTGTGTGTGTGTCTCGGTGTGCTTGTCTACAGTGTGTCTGTCTGTCTGTTGGGGTGTGTGTGTGTCTCGGTGTGCTTGTCTACAGTGTGTGTGCGCGCACACTTGCGCTTTTGGTAATAAAGAAAATAACTGTATTTTTGTCCTTTCATTTTTTTGTCCTTGAAAAGGATTGAATCACCAAACAATGGGGACGATGCAGGAAACTCATCTGTAGCAATGTGATTTGAATTAGCATTGAGAGGCAGGGTTGAATCACGTTGTTAGAGTAAGAGGACAAAGCATAAGATAATGAATAGTTACTATTCCTTCAAGGTTTGTGGAGTATGTGATGGATACATGTTTAAACTTGCTGCTCCCACTCAATTCTTTACTGAGCTCTCAGATTACTGTAGATAATCAGCAGCAGTACAACATGTGGTCTCAGATTACTGTAGATCACCAGCAGCAGTACAACATGTGGTCTCAGATTACTGTAGATCACCAGCAGCAGTACAACATGTGGTCTCAGATTACTGTAGATCACCAGCAGCAGTACAACATGTGGTCTCAGATTACTGTAGATCACCAGCAGCAGTACAACATGTGGTCTCAGATTACTGTAGATCACCAGCAGCAGTACAACATGTGGTCTCAGATTACTGTAGATCACCAGCAGCAGTACAACATGTGGTCTCAGATTACTGTAGATCACCAGCAGCAGTAACAACTGTGGTCTCAGATTACTGTAGATCACCAGCAGCAGTACAACATGTGGTCTCAGATTACTGTAGATCACCAGCAGCAGTACAACATGTGGTCTCAGATTACTGTAGATCACCAGCAGCAGTACAACACGTGGTCTCAGATTACTGTAGATAACCAGCAGCAGTACAACATGTGGTCTCAGATTACTGTAGATCACCAGCAGCAGTACGACACGTGGTCTCAGATTACTGTAGATAACCAGCAAGCAGTACAACCTGTGGTCTCAGATTACTTGTAGATCACCAGCAGCAGTACAACATGTGGTCTCAATTACTGTAGATCACCAGCAGCAGTACACATGTGGTCTCAGATTACTGTAGATCACAGCACAGTACAACATGTGGTCTCAGATTACTGTAGATCACCAGCAGCAGTACAACATGTGGTCTCAGATTACTGTAGATCACCAGCAGCAGTACAACATGTGGTCTCAGATTACTGTAGATCACCAGCAGCAGTACAACATGTGGTCTCAGATTACTGTAGATCACCAGCAGCAGTACAACATGTGGTCTCAGATTACTGTAGATCACCAGCAGCAGTACAACATGTGGTCCTCCAGATTACTGTAGATAACCAGCAGCAGTACACCTTTGGTCTCAGATTACTGGATGATCAACCAGCATCATACAACCATGTGCAACACAATGGTCTCAGATTAATGTAGATAACCAGCAGCGTACAAACACGTGGTCTCCATATTACTGGTAGATAACCAGCAGCAGTACAAACAATGTGGGTCCTCCAGATTACTGTAGATCACCAGCAGCAGTACGACACGTGGTCTCAGATTACTGTAGATAACCAGCAGCAGTACAACACGTGGTCTCAGATTACTGTAGATCACCAGCAGCAGTACAACATGTGGTCTCAGATTACTGTAGATCAACAGCAGCAGTACAACAGTAAAATGTATTTAACAAACACACCACAGGTCCACATGAAATCATGGAAAAAGTGAATGTGCCATGGTGACCCATTTTAATGTACAGAAATATATACGCTTAATAGGATATATAATATTGTAATAGTACAATGGTAGCCTGCCCTACAGCATAATACTAAATTAGCAGTAACATTTCCTTGGTTAAGATATTGGAATACTTTTAATAATTCATTCTTTGAGGTACATAGTGAACATTCTCTTACATTTCATGCAGTAATGTTGGTTGTCTTGAGAGACGGATGCTCCAGGAAAAACTGGATAAGATGAGCCTACATATAAAAAAATGCTTGAAAAGAAAATGGACAGTTGCATTGTTCAGATGACAGACTTGACTGATTGTGATGACAGCTGAGTCAAAACCATGGTGCTTGCCTACGGAGCTATGAGGGGAACGGCACCTCCTTACCTTCAGGCTCTGGTCAGACCCTACACCCAAACAAGGGCACTACGTTCATCCACCTCTGGCCTGCTAGCCCCCATACCTCTACGGAAGCACTGTTCCCGCTCAGCCCAGTCAAAGCTATTCGCTGCACCCCAATGGTGGAACAAGCTCCCCTACGACGCCAGGACAGCGGAGTCACTGACCACCTTCCGGAGACACTTGAAACCCTACCTCTTTAAGGAATACCTGGAATAGTATAACAGTAATCCTTCTACCCCCCATCATCCCCCACCCTCCCATTTTAAAAAAAGAAAAGAGAAAAAAAATGGTGGTTGTCCTACTGGCTATCCTAAATTGAATGCACCAATTTGTAAATCGCTCTGGATAAGAGCGTCTGCTAAATGACTTAAATGTAAATGTAGATAGTCTGTTTACATGTAAATGTAGATGGTCTGTTTACATTCACAGTAACTAGGTAATGAGAGCATTTGTTGGGTTTTACGCTGCCGAAGTTACACACATCCCATTGTGGATCAGGTTACAGTCCCATCAGTCACAGGGGCCGCAGCAGACTGGACTATTCATCAGGATTAGAAATGTGAAAACCCCAACAGATGTTGTCAGGACAGGTGCCTCTGCTCTGGCAGACACTTTTTGACACAATTTTCTCTGTTCCCCCTGTAGCAGTAGTGTTTTTAGCATGTAAATCTTAGTGGGGCAAACTTCCCCCAAAATTGTTTTATGCATGCCAGCAAAGCCACTATACAACACTAAACAATACATGAATTGCACTATAACGGTGACAAATGGTGCCAACAAACTGTTAGGGCCTACATAAAGCTGTCCCAACAGCAGAGCTTTCTTTTCAGCTCCATGGAGTGAATCCTTACCACTGCTACACCTGCCTATCAGCGGAGCCTTGTCTGGCAGCGAAACAGTTCATTCAGCCTCATTTACTGCCTTTAAAAAAAACATAGCTGATATGGCTGACTTGCTTAAACATTATTCTCCCTGTACACCAAGTCAGAACTGTAGGATAAATAAAGGGGGCATATAAGCTCTTACAATATTCGATGATTACATTTCTCTAAAACAGGCTATAGGCTACATGCACCACCAAGTCAGAACAGTAGGCTAAGTTATGAGGGGGAAAGGGACCAAATTATTAGGGTGAGACACATGGGCTACTAACAGTTTACTACACAACATACACTTAGTATTACTTTCTTAGCTACAGTGTACATATCTCCCTGGCATATTACATCATTTATGCAGCAGCATACAAGACATTTCTGGGCTCACCTTGTTGTGCTGTGTTCACTTGAACAGGAAGGTGGCGCAGAGGTTCTTGTGGGTAAATTTTGTCATCAAACTTTGTCATCAATGTCTGGTATTCTCTGGATTTATGGTGCTTTCAAGACAACTGGGAAGTCAGAAAAAAACAAGGTTGAATCATGATGTCAGTGATCTTCAGGTTGGAAGTCTAGAAAGAGGCCCGAGTTCCCGACTTGGAATTCCGAGTTGGATGACCGTTCAAACATTTTTTTTCCCCAGTCGGAGTTCCCAGTTGTCTTTAACTGACTGTAGTCTGAGATTTCCCTGTTCCAAGTTTCCAGTTGTTTTGAACGCGGCAGATGTCATGCTGGATTGACAGCATGGCCAATGTATTCAACCTTTTCTGGCCCCATGGTGTTGAATGTTTATCCTTTTAAGCTTGGAAAAGATACCCTTAAACCCAGATTTGGACCACACACCCACTCCACTGAATAGCAGGCTAGTGAGTGCTTTGCAACGCTTGCAGTTAGCCACTGATTCCTTCCAAAACACTCATTGTTGAATTTGCGATTTTCCAACTTGTTGTGTAATGTTTATGTCCAATGGCCGATGAGCACCGGTATGTTTTATCTATAATTCTCTTCATATGACAAGGATTGAAAAGGATTTGCCAGTAGATTGTCGACGTGATTCATGATGGCTTGTCTAGCTTGCTAGCTAAGATTTTTGAAAGTATGATGTTGACATGATCAGTCCAATCAAAGGTACTGTATAAATAACGTGATTTGACGTCATTTTATCTGTGGCCAATGACCTTGAGCCTTCTTGGATGGGCACTTATAATGTAACTCTATGGCAGCACCCAAGGGGATGGAATTTTCTAGCTCTCCCCGTAGATTTTACGGTGATGTAGTGTCCCCATGAGTGACAGAACACTGAGCCAATCACGGCGCAACTAGAGAACATTACCAACCCCTACGATCTGTATTTTCCGCTGGCTGCCCCACCACCACAGAAAGCACTGAGCTAGGCTGAAACACCTGCATTTTGGAGCTGCCTTACTCAAGAAAGCAAAAAAGAGACCATGTTTGTATGTGGCTTTTTTTTTAAACATTGTTAGCAAACTGATATGTGACACGCATTAATGCCAAAATAATGACAGAGAATTTCTCATGTCATCATTGGCTGCCATTTTCCACCCCCTGTTTACTCTCTCGTTCTCTCTCAGTTCCTACTTCCTCTAGTCAACCTACTCCTCACTCAACTCTCTCTCACTTCCTGTTACTTTCCATAGTTATTTTACGGTGTTTCCCCACCAATTCTTCACCAGCTGCGTGCATGTCGCGGGACCTCCCCAATTTAACTTCCATGCACAAACAAAATAGAGAACATTGGACTCAGGTCATTTCGTCAACTCCACCGGCTGTCACTAAAATGTTATGGGGGGTTGAGTTATGGAAACGGGCCTCGAAAGTCAACCCGCTCCAGTGTCATTACTATTGAACAGCAGTCCTGTGTCAAATGTCCTTAGGGGCACCTCAAGCTCCCAGTGTTACCAGAACCCACACACTGTAGTCTCTCTGCCCAGTCGGCTATAGACACAATTTACTATTTCAGCATATCTCACATTGGATTTAAGTTTGAAAAAAATTATAGGCAGCTTCAAAGGGGATATGCAGCGCACAATTCACAATCTGTGACCCATTCAGATCTCAGAGGACCAGAGCCATGAATACATTCTTCATTATTTGACAAAACCTTAGCTATCCTAATCGTCAAACTGGGAGATTAATATCTGTCTAAGTTTCCCTGCCAAATAAATAATTAAGGTGCGTTCTCATGTTTCAGGCCCGCTGAACGCCATCGTTGGGCTGGTTCTGTGCATGCCAGCAGACGCAAGGCGATCTCCAGTGACTAGTGCACGTGTCAAACTCATTCAACGGATGGTCGAGTGTCTGCGGGCTTTAGCTCCTCCCATACTTGATTTATGAATTATTAGTAAGGTATTAGTAAGGTATTAGTAAGGATCTCCCCTCACCTGGTTTTCTAGGTATTAGTAAGGAACTCCCCTCACCTGGTATTCTAGGTATTAGTAAGGAACTCCCCTCACCTGGTTGTCTAGGTCTTAGTAAGGAACTCCCCTCACCTGGTTGTCTAGGTCTTAGTAAGGAACTCCCCTCACCTGGTTGTCTAGGTCTTAGTAAGGAACGTCTATAAAGGAAAAACAAAAAACCTGCAGACACTGGGTCCTCCATGGAATGAGTTTGACACCCTTGTACTCGGCCCACCATGGAATGAGTTTGACTCCCCTGTACTCGGCCCTCCATGGAATGAGTTTGACTCCCCTGTACTC